GAGATGTGAAACCTGTTCACCAGATATAGAATGTGTCTGTCTGCAGAGGAGAAGGCAAATCATGTCCATGGGTAAAAGAGCAAGGGATAAGGTTAACTGGATTGAGTGATAAAGAGGAGAGAAAGTAGGGCTCTGCAGGAGCTTATGGAAGTGGTTTTAGCAGATAAATACCTGATAAATGATATAGTCAGATAAAGACTTACCCTGGGGCAGGAGGAGGGATGAGGACTTGTGAATGCAAAGTGCATCAGGGTGGAGAACAGTTGCAGGGGGACATGTGGCAGCTCCTGGAGCCCCACAGCAGGTCTGGGGTCACAGCAACCCCACAGGTCCCGTGGCGGGTGTGGGATCACAGCGGTCCCTGGAGCCCACAGCAGGTGTGTCCCCTCTGCATCGCAGTGGACATAGCCAGCACACAGTGATGCCAGCTCGGGGCAGGACCAGCTCCCCTGCCACGGGTCCCTGTCCCACCTCCCCACCCCAGCAGCAGGGGCATGGGGCACACAGCCCCTGATCCCTGTCCCGTGTGCCTGTGGGCTGAAGGACAGGAGCAGGGACAGCCCAGCTCCCAGCATTTCCTCGTTCTTGTATCCTGGCTGGCAGCCCAGGTGGGTTTGCAACATGGCTTTTCTGGAAGGGTGATTTACGTCCTTTGCCAGTTCCTGGTTTGCGCCATTCGGGAAATAACTCTGCTTTGGAAGGAGAAAGAAGAAAAGGGGCAAGCAAAAGGACAGCAAACTCAGTTTCCCTGAGTCTTTCTCTTGCAGGCAGAGCTGGGGAAGTCATTTCCAGTCAGCCTGAGCAGGACTGAAAGGTCTCCAGAAATGTGCACCAGAGCTGAGATGAAAGCAGCTTTGGATAAGCTCTTTTATTACTTAAATCTGTTCCAGTTCCAACAAGTTCAGGTTCATGGCACTTGCTGTACTCCTGAGAGGGATGCTCTGTGTGTAGGAAAGAGACTAAAACATTTGATTTTCCCTGGAAATAAAATGGTGGTAGGGAAAAAAAAAAAAAAAAAAAAAAAGACTATTTCCGCTTACAGCAAGACCGAGTGGAACACTTCAGATGCTGAATGCTCCTCTTCAGCTGGGGCTTTTGGAGGGTTAACACAGCAAGAGATGCTCTGCAAACAGAGGCTGGAGGGCTTTGGCTTTATGGTTCAAAGTTCTCTCCAGCAGACTGGAAGTCCCCTGGGGGCAGAGATCACCCCTGTCCCGGGAGTGTGTGTGTTTGTGGGACTGTGCTCATGCCAGCCATGGCTGGCAGGGCCCAAAGGCACCTTCCCAGTGCAGAAATCACAATGTTCCTCTGCAGTGACTTGACCAAGGGCTCTGCTGCATCATCTGATTCCTCATGTGCCATGCTGGTCTGTCAACCCATGTGCTTGTTAAGGAATGTGTATAATAATCATGTGCTTTATCTCGAGTAACATCCAAGCAGAAGCTGAAGCACAGAGCAGGTTCTTTGATGCTTGCATGGGTTGAATCCACAGCTTATGGAGACTCAGTTGTGGTCAGTCTAAACAAACACTGACTTTGGGGGAAGACACAAAAGCAGTTGTTTTAGCCAAGGTGGTGCAGCCTGAGTATGTGAGGCTGAGCCCAAAGATGAGTTTCTGTGCAAACAGGAACCAGTTTGGTTTCACTGGACAGGACATTCATTGGAGCTCTGTATGAGATTGCTGCCATATTCTTCATCACAGTTTGATATGTTTAAGACACTGCCTTTTTATTAGAGTTAGAGTAAAACCAACTTGTCTTTTATCTGATAAATCTGAATACCAGGGCATTGAAATGAATCTTGATTTTTTCTTGTCCAGAATTGAAGCAAAGCTCCTGCCTTGCCACCACAGGTTCATCCTTCTTCAGACTGTGCAACTCGAACACCTCTGGACTGCAAATTACAGGAACCAGCTAGGCTATCCTCCTGCACCAGAGGATGTGAAAGGGGCCCCAAAAGATGGTCTCATTGTTAAAGACATGGTCAAAGATATCTGGGTCATCCCAGACAAACTTGCTGCAGTCCCATCATTGTTATTATCTCCTTCCCCCACATCTGTTGAAAGAGGATAACAAATGTGCCTGTTCCCCAGTAGCTGCAGGGCATGATCTGCTCAGCAGATTGACTCTGCTGTGAGCCCAGGGACACCTAAGTGGGCTCCTGCAGCCCAGCTCCGTCCAGAACGGCTGTCCTGCTGCAAAACCTGAGTGAGGCCTCTCAGTGTGGGCAGAGAGGCAGAAAAACCTTGCTTGCCTGGCACCAAGCCTAAGCTAACAGCCTCTGCCAAGCCTCAGGTGCAAAATATGTAGAATTATCCCTGGTTTTCTTCTGTGAGAACCCCTCCCTCCCTCTGCCTGTACAACAGAGATTTGAGTGCTTCGTTTCATGCAGCTGCTGTCTGTCTGATCTCACTCCTTGGGACAGAAGTTACCTTCTAGACAGTTTTTGTAGAGTGCCCAGCAGAGGGGAGCTCCCCATCTTGCCCACTGCCCACTTCTGCTAATGCCCTGCAATTAATAGCAATAATGGGAGTGCAGTAGCTGAGCTGCACATGGGAATGAGTGTGCTACAGCTGGACACAGCAATGATGTGAGGGTGTCATTGGCAGCCAAGCTGAAGGGCAGCTGTACATTGCTTTCAGTATTTTAGTGAGGGAACTGCTGCCCAGTTAGACTTGCAGTGTGTTTATTCCCACTGGGCTGTGCTTTAAATCATCTTGTAGCTTCCTTGGTAAGAAACTGACCTCCTTGAATTGCACGTGCTATATCTCAGCAAGGATGCAGTTTGCTTGATGAGGAAGATCAATAAATAGTGTTTATCTAAGTCTGGAGATGCTAAAGATGTGTCTAAGCACCATGATATTCACTCATGACCTCCTCTGCCTCTGAGTGACTCTGCAGCATCCTGGCCATGGTGCTTTGGATGGGTTGACCTTGCTGTGGTGAATTGGCTTTGAGAAGGAGAGTTTCAAGCAGGTGACATGTTGTCCACAGGTGCAGAAAAAGCAGTGTGGGCACGGTAAGTCAGGGGTGGTGGCAGGAGGCAGGGGGTCTGCGTGCTCCCCAGAGATACAGAAGTGAAAAAAAGCTGTTGCCTAATCAGACAGTCCATTGCCAGGCATCTGTTAGGCAGAGACCACAGTGTCTCAGTGAAATGTGTTTATGGTGAAAGAGAGATGTTTCCCTCCTTTCTCAGGAGGATTTCAGTGCATGGCAATGACAGCAATGCAACCCACAGGCAGAAGCCAGCGCCAGGGACCATTCCACCAAGGGCTTGCAACAGCAATGAGCTGTCCTCCAAAACCCCACCAGTCAGAGCATGACTGAAATAATCACACCAAAATTCACAGAAAAGATTTTGAGTCTTCTTGCTATGTAACTATCCTGCTGACTTCAAAGGCTGTTTAATTCTGTCATCCCTTTTAATCAAAATAACTGGAGATGTTTATCTCCAGACATTGCCAACATCTCTCTACATGTTCGGTGGCAGCTGCAGGACAGAGGAAACACACTGTAAGAAAAATTGCTTGCAGCAACATTTACATCCCAGTGGGACCACAGAGAGAACTTTTGAGGTGGCTTAAATCAATTATGAAATTAGTCTGTGGGTAACAATCACTTTGTCACCCTGAATGCTGATTTCTCCCCCCATGGCTGAAGGCCAGAAATGTGTTTCTTTATTTTGGGGTAATATTTTGTGTGCACAGGTGGTGGAAAAGGGGCGGGGAAGGTATGGGAGAGCAAGCTAATTATTCTGAGCAATAGTGCTGGCCCTAGAACAAATAGTTCTGGACATGAATAAATTTAGGTGGAGCAAGAAGGTTTCTAAGAAGTAAAGCAGTGAGTGTGTGATAAAGCTTCTGATAAGAAGGGACCAGGAAAAAACCCAGAAGCACAGAGCAGGCTGTGCTTGCAGATAGATCTGAAAGTCATCCCTCACACTTTTTCCCTGTGGCCCTTTTCTATGTTTATTCCCCCGGGTTTTTTGCAGTGGAATAAGCAGAACTGCAGTGTGCTATTTGATCTCTGTATTTATCCAGTGGACATGTCTTTTTAAGGGGAAGAAGTCACCATGCACTTCTTTGGCACTTGTTTTCCCTGGATAGCACTTCTTCTGCGAGAACACATTTTGGTCTCTGGGACAAGTTGGTGCTTGGTGAGAGGCAAGGAGAGCAGACAGACCTCTGCCATGGAAACAGTATTGTCACTGAAACCATCATGGGTTTGTATCCAGGACAGTGAATTATAGTTTCAAAGTCCATCTGCTAAAGGTGTTTTGCACGCTTTCAGTGAGGAGCAGGATTGAGATCATGGTTACTGTGTGAGAGATCTCCTCCAGTAACTTGGCTGTGCTTGATGTTTGTCTGCCTGGGACCAGCATGTTGGTGTTTTCATTGTAATGCGACCCTTTGATAATTTTTCTCTGTGGTTTTAACAAATTTACAGCTCATTAAAGTGTATATATGGTTAGAGGAGTTTATTATACCCACAAACAGCTCTTGCCATGTCTCTCTAGCATCTGTAGTGATTTTTGGTGGTCAGGCACTTTGAATGAGGAGATCCTTTTGCAGCTTCTTCACAAGAAAGATTGACTGTCCTAAATGATTTTGAGTAGATATTAGGAAGAAATTCTTTAGTATAAGGGTGGTGAGGCATGGGATCAGGTTGCCATGAGATCCTGTGGATACCCCATGCCTGGAGGTTTTCAGGACCAGGTTGGTTGGGGCTTTGACCAGCCTGGTCTAGCAGAAGGTGTCCCTGCCCATGGCAAGGGGTTGGGAGTAGATGATCTCTAAGTCACTTCCAACCTGAACCATTCTGTGATTCTGTGATCACTACCCATGAGTTCCATCTTCTCAATATTCACTCCCTTTCCCAGATCACTTATGAGCATGTTGGATGGCATAAATCCTCAGGGAAATCTCTTGGCAACCTATTCCCATTATAAAAATCATTTATTTCTTCTCACCCTTTGTTTCCCATTGGTGACTATTCATGCAGAAGTGCCCTTCCCCTTTGCACCACTACTGTGCCAATCCCAGAAGAGCCGTGGGTGAAGGACATTTCCAAAAGCCTATGAAAAACACACCTGCACCAGCGACCAGGTCACCTCATCCAAGTGGTCACCTTCACTTTGAAAGAACCACTTTGAACCAGGTACAAGGCAAGACTGCATTCTGCCAAAGCCAATTTGTCTCCATCCCCAGTATATCACAAGTCTGTTAATTACAGTCTTTACAATAATCTCTAGCGTTGTGCCAATACAAAAGCCAGATGTCCTGGTGTGTAAGTTGCATGGGCTGCCTTCTGAGCCCTTTTAAAATCTCACCCTCGGGAATTTGCCATTCCCTTAGGGTAAATTTGCTGTTCCTTAAGTTGGGAGGCAGATTTGAACCACTGACACAGCCCATGAGCAGTCGGCAGTTCCCTGACCGAGTTTCTTCTGACCTCCAGGTTCAGCTGCTGTGCTGCCTTTGAATTTATTGATCTGCTTAAAACCTCTCCATGCCCTCAATATCTAATCTGTTACAAGGCAAAATTCATTAACGTTTGTAAAGCTCATCAAGATCTTTCATGAGCAAATCCCGTCATGTTTTAATATATTTTTTAAATGTCACGAGTAAGTTCTCATTACTCATTAAAGAGCTGAAGCAAACAGCGCTTGCCAGACCCAAATATTGGAACAGGCAAGGGCTGCAACTCTCTTTGTTTACCACTTTTAGGACACTTTAATTTCAGTTTGACTTTCTGCCTTGATTCTACCCTGGCAAGTCAGAACCACCCCTCCAGCTTTTCCAAATGTAGCCTCAGGGATCTTCACGGACTCCGTCTTTAGGAGGTATCTGGTAGCTCCATGGGAATCTCAGAGTTTCTGGTCCCAATTGCTGTTAGTGTTGGCTGGCTTTGCAGTGTGAGATGCCAGCATGAAGGACAGCAGAGGATGGATGAGTGCATCTAGCAGGTGTTGGATCACACAACCTTGGGAAACCTCTGTAAAAGCCTTCACCTTCCAACCCAGCATGGTGTTTTGTGCCCCCCCAGTGGTGCCTGTACATTACTGCACATTTCCTGGTGGGTTTGGCAAACAGGTCCTGGGCTATTGGGACCAAAACCATGTGTTCAAGTGGCCTCAGTGGCATTTTGTCCCATGACCTCAGATGTGGCCCGGGTCTCTGCGAGAGTCCCACAATGAATTTGCATTTCTCCTTGTTTTTCCTGCCAGGATGTCCAGAGGAGACATGGCCAAACCTCTGCTGGGCCATCGGAGCACGGAGGGTGACTCCAGCCCCACGCCGCCGGCCGGCCGCACCGTGGGGGTGCTGGGCAGCGGGGACTTTGCGCGGTCCTTGGCCGTGCGCCTGGTGTGCTCCGGGTTCAAGGTGGTGGTCGGCAGCCGCAATCCGAAGCGGAAAGCCAGCCTCTTCCCTGCTGCAGCAGAGGTCACCTTCCAGGCCGAGGCGGTGAAGAAGGCGGATGTCATTTTTGTGGCGATTTTCAGGGAACATTACTCCACCCTCTGTGACCTGGCTGATGTGCTGGTGGGCAAGATCCTGGTGGATGTTAGTAACAACACCGAGATCAACCATCACAAGGAATCCAACGCGGAGTACTTGGCCTCCCTGTTCCCAGCCTGCACCGTGGTAAAGGGGTTTAATGTGGTTTCTGCGTGGACGCTGCAGTCGGGTGCCAGGGATGGAAATAAGCAGGTATTGTTTTCTTCCAGTAAGGGCTAAATCCCAACAGTTTCAGCAGCTGAGATCTGGCAGCATCAGCAAATGGCCTTAGGCTCCAAGAGAAGGAGTCTTGAGTGCTGGCTGTGGCATTCAGAGACCACCCCTTAGCTTCTGCATTTCTTTGTCCAGAAATGAAGTACCTTCACTCAGTTCACACTTTGTAGTCTTTGGACTATTTCCCTAAGTGAAAAGTATTATTCAGTTGTCTGTTTATCCAAACAGAGCCAGTAAAACAAACTGCTGGTTCATGCATGAAAGGAAATCTGTCCAGGAGAGAGGTCTTTGGCAGCCATGGTAAATCCCTGTCAAAAAGCCTGCCAGGAATCATGGTGCTCAGTGGAATAACATAGGCTCTCTGTGACACAGAATCCCTCCCGATGCACTTGATCCCAGCAGCCTGATTTCTTTGCCCTATGTGTGTATTTCTGTTCGTTGCAGGTTCTGATCTGCTCAAATAACCAAGAAGCCAAGCGCACAGTAGCAGAAATTGCTCAGGTCATGGGATTCACCCCTGTGGACATGGGCTGCATGTCATCAGCCTGCGAGATTGAGAACATTCCCCTGCGCCTCTTGCCAGCCTGGAAAATCCCCATCTTTTTGGCTCTGGGGCTTTTTCTTTGCTTCTTCACCTACAACCTGATCCGGCAGGTCATCCACCCTTACATCAGGGAGCAGAAGAACAAGCTGTACAAGATCCCCATCGAGGTGGTCAACACCACGCTGCCGTGCGTGTCCTATGTCATGCTGTCCCTCGTCTACCTGCCCGGGGTGCTGGCAGCCTGCTCCCAGCTCTACTACGGCACCAAGTACAGGCGCTTCCCAGACTGGCTGGACCAGTGGCTCCAGCACCGAAAGCAGATTGGTCTCCTCAGCTTCTTCTGTGCAGCCCTGCACGCCGTCTACAGCCTCTGCCTGCCCATGCGCCGCTCCCACCGCTACCTGTTAATCGAGACCGCCGTCAAGCAGGTAATGGGGGTGCTCCTCACGCCAGCACCTGCAGCAATCTTCTAAACTCCTGCAGATGTTGGGTGGTGGGCTTAATATCTTAGCTTTTTCATTTGTTTTCCAGAGCAGGTGTGGGACAGTGGGAAAAAGCTGTTACCTCTAGGAGCACTTCCCCCACAGGTCAGCCGCATGGCACAGACAGAGCACTCACCTATCTGTGCTGAGGACCAGCCATCTCCCTGGATACACAGCTCCTTCTGCATTTACAGGGCTAGGATCAGCCCCCTATGCCACTGCTCCCCTGAAACACTGACAAGCCTTGGAAACCAGCCTTGCCTGGCACTTCTGTGTCTGAGACTAGGTCAGAGGCAGGAGAAATGCTAGGTGAGGGGAAATCCAGTGGTAGGAGGAGCAGAGTTCCCTTCAGCTCCCAAAATCTTGGGAGATCCCTGTTTATTCACACTGATGTTCATAATTGTGCCTGCTGGAGTAACCAAGTCATAACCCAGGGAGGGCCGTGTGTCCTCATCATCGTGTGCCTGCAGGAGTTTAACAAAATGGTGATGAAGAACCGGTTATATAAGAACAAGGAAATGGAAAAGGACTTTATTGCTTTATGGACACTCTCAGCAGTGTTTATCCAGTGTGAGATTGCTGCCTTCAGGCAGTTCAGTCAGCTCTGTAACTTGGCAGTACCATGGGAGAATGGGATTTGATCCTTCCTGCCCCTGACTTCTCACCGCTCCACACTGCTCCCTCCTGGGATGGCACAGGCTTCATGCAGATGAGGGGGAATGCTATCAAGGAGTTACTCACAACCACTCTGCTTTCTGTGCTGGGGTATTTGTCCAAGTGATTCCAAATATTTGTCCCAAAAAGGAGGGAAGGGACAGATCCCTTCTGTCCCTCTGTGGGGATGGCTGGTTTTGGCAGCAGTGCCTGTACAGAGCATACATCAAATGCCATTCCCAGCCTCTCAGCTCCAGCCTTGAGCAGGTTCTTCTCAATTGCCACAGTTGCACATTAATCTCAGGCAAGCATCCTGTGTTCATTTCCCCTCTACCTCCTGTTTTCTAGCAACATCTTTGTTTAGTAAATTAAACCTATTTAATGGGCTAAAGAGGACAGTTCTAAATGTTCCTCTTTGCCATGCAGTATAAAACCCATCTTCCCTTCCATTAGCATGAACAATTTCCCCCCCTAAATGCACTTAAAACAAAGGTTATTAGGAGACTACTGCATATTCAAGCATCTGTATTTGTTTTCATGGCTTTAAACTGAGTTCTCATTGTAATTATCTTTCCAAATGTGACTTTGGGGCTTGCTGCTGTGATTACAGGCATGGGAGCTGAGAGCATTCAGCAGTTCTTCCCAGCAGGCTTCAAATCAGGTCTAGCTTTGGCCAAATGGCTTTGGGATAAGAGAGCATTTCCACATCTCCTAAACAGGCAAATAGTGCTGGAGATGTGAATAGGACCCAGTGCTCTTCCAGGAAACCTGCTTCCAAAACCAAAATAGATAAAATTCAGTTCCTCTGTCCCTAAGCACCCCGTTTTAACAAACCTTCATTGTCATGCCAGGCTGTGGAGAAGAAGATGACAATCTGGGTAGAGGAGGAAGTCTGGAGGATGGAGATTTATATTTCTGTTGGAATAATTGCCCTGGGCTTGCTGTCGTTACTTGCCATCACTTCACTTCCATCCATCGCAAACTCTCTCAACTGGAGGGAATTCAGTTTCATTCAGGTAAAGTTGACATTTGCTGATGCCAGAGAGTGATTCTGCAGAATCAGAGTCAGGCCCTCACACAGACAGGGCAGGGGCTGACCTGCTTTCCCAGCACAACCTGCTCTGGCAGGGCAGCTGTAAGCTGTGCACTGGTGTCAGCAACAAAACCTCCCCATGCACCCCAGAGCCACAGACCCCTCGTTCAGGAGGTGAGACCCAGAGGCAGAGAGGGGCAGAGGGCTGTGGTGTGTCCTGGGGCCGTGCTGCTCTCACACAGGACTTGTCCTATCCAAGGAAGGTGCTTGTCTCAGGAGAAGGGAAAAAGCAAGGTGTCATGGGCATCCACATGCACATCATCAGCAGCAAAGCTGCTGCTGGGAACACCAGGCTGTGGAAGGCAGGCAGGGAACTCGCTGTGGACACAGCTGGCTACAGGACACAGATCTGCCCTTGCTGTTTAGAGAGAGTGAGCTGCTGAGGAGAGTGCCTGGGAGCACAGTGCAGGGGAAAGACAGGTTTGGCAAAGCTTGCATGCACCCATGTGTTCAATAGACAAGTTCAAAAAGGCTTAGAGCGGTCTGTAAACTGCCAGAGCCCACACAGAACAGAGAACTGGGTATGATTTCAATGAAAAGGCCATGTCTGATTCTAAAAGCTGAATTAGTAATGTAGTTTTCCCCCAGTGGTTTGGGAGCCTTCCTCCCACTTGCAGTTCTGGCCAAGCTCCCAAAGGCCAAATTCCCTTGGTGATCTGAGTCTACCCCATGGGATGTTCACAGGCACCATATTCAGTGGCTGCAGCTTTTTCAGAGATGCATTTGGAGCCAGGCTTAGGGCTAATTAACAGAGATAGCAGAGAATTAACCTTTCTAGGATCCCCTGCACATTAGAGCTGATTTTGAGGCCAGATGCTACTCACTGTGTCACAGTCAGATCCCACAGCCCTAAAAACACCTTGTTACTTGTGTTTCCTACACCAGGGCTGCTTAGCATGCACCAGGCTTTGTGTTCCACTGCAGTAACCCCTGTGGCACCCAACATGTGTGAGCCCCCCCCAGGACCCCGTTCCCTGCAGCTCCCCTGTGGAGCCTCCCTTTGCACCACTCTGGCACACACCTAACCCTTCCAAAGGGGAGGGCAGGGTTCAGGGATGCAGAGGTGAATATCTATCATCCAGCCTCTCTCTTAAGCTCTGCTGAAGCTCTTCAGTATGTATAAATAATTCAATATTCATTAGAGCAGGAGTTTGAAGTCTGCTCCCCTGCTTCTCCCACAAGTGCCCCGATCACCAAACGAGCAATCCAGTTTGTCTTCTTTTCCCTCTTGCTGTGGGCTAGCCAGTAATTATTTACACTGAGTAGAAAAGCTGCACCAGGAGAGTTTGACCCCAAGAGATCATCCCTCGAGGAGAAGGGAGAGCTGTCTTTAAACCTCTCTTTCAGACTGGACAATGGGAGCATATTAATTCTCACCACCATGTCTCAGGGGAGGGCTGCAGCTGCTGGGACACTGGATACATCAGTCCTGACTTACGCATCTCATACCAGAAATTCCAAACGAAGGGAAATATCTCCTTGCAGTGTGGAAGGAGGCTTTGAAACCCCCTGCATTTCCCTTTGGCGCTCCCCAGGCAGCCTGGCAGCTGTCCTGTAGGGCGTTGTGTCATGTAACACATACATTGCCGTGGCAGGTAGTGCGTGTAACACGACTGTCCCATCTGCCCTTTGGGACCCCTTCCCGAGCCTTTCTAAGGCTATGTCAGCACTGGGACCAGACAAATTCATGATGGTCGGTTCCAAAATAGCTCTTGGCTGCCCCACATGGGAGCTGGCTGGCTTAGTTCATGGAAAGATACTCACACCTATTTCTGTCTGCATGGAATAAAGCGTGACAGTGTGACACGAGCTCCCAGCTGATCACATGCAGAAGAGGCACGGTTGGTATTGAGCCTTACTGTGGAAATACCATGTCAAAAGAGCAGGTTACAGATCTGGCATGTTAGCTTCCATATTATTTTTTTTTAAGTGAGGGATCTTTTCAATTATTTACTCCTCAATAAGTCGGTGGTGCCTTTTATGAGGAAATTAAAAGAACAGCTACAGCTACTGCTTGCAGGCTCCAGAGGTTACATTCACATAGCTCAGTGTGAGCCTCCCTGAATTAATGCACAGTGGCACAGTGTAAATACAAGGGGTGAAGCATGAGGCTGCTTTCTCAAATATTTGGGATTTCTAGCACTTCTGCAGCATCAAAGAAGTGAAATGCAGAGTGCACACACCCCAGCCAGATGCCTACCAAAAAACGCAGCAATTTGTTTCCATCTTAGTTGAACTGGATGATGTTTGAGAGATGCTGTACCACAAGCCACATGTGAAGCAAATTCAGGAGTCATTTTAGTCCCTCCCTTGCCCAGAGCTTCCAAGTCTGACATTTTCCAGCAGCCAGTGTGTATACCTGTATTAATGCCATATACTGCCACAGTATTAAAATACACATCTGTTGCCTGACAGGTCAAAAATCCCATTTGTATTGTTGCCAAAGTTACAGGAGAAAAGGTTAATTTTCACAGTAGCTCCTGCACATACACAAATTTCAATTAAATATAGTTAAGTTGGATACACAGTTCCCCTGTGTGTCCAATTTTAACAGAAAATGTACAGAATCAAGACATTGGCTAACAGGAATGATTTGTATGTAATTCAACTTATAGGAGACATTTTTAATGTTCCCCAGTGATTTACAAATCAGCTCTAATTGCCTGAGAAGTAAAAATGTGTATGATTGCCTTTACCTTCCTATCCTGAGAAGCCCTCCTGGAATTTGAAGGTTGAATTGACCTGGTTTCTTTCATAGCTCATGCAGCATAAGATGTAAAGAATCTGTAATCAGACCTTTTCTAACCCGCCTGTTGAGGCAGTGCAAGGGGCCAGACCTGCTTCAGTTGAGCTAATAATTTCATAGTACTGATGGCTGCACAAGTCAGAAACATATCTGGGTCAAGAAGGGGCCCTCTGCCTTCAGTGCTGCCCAAGCATTTCTAAATGAGCCACATGTGACTGGATCACCTTTGCTAATGCATTACAGGGAGCCTGCAGGCACCAAGGAGATGGGCGAGGTAGAAGAGTTAATGCAGAATAGAAAATGCTCACAAAGCCTGCATCAGGAAGATACCATCTTCATACAAAATCTTTTGGGGAACTTTAACACCCTACAGGCTGCTGGCCCCACACTCCTTGTGTTGTGGAAGTACAAAAAAAAACCTCTGCCGCTGTTTGAAACAAAACCCAGGAAGATTTCATAGCCAGAAACTGCATAGAGAGGATCAATGAGAGCAAAAGAGTGGTATCAAGGCTAAGCACATTGGCAAATCAGCCTCCTGGGGTGCTCAGCAGGCTCTGCATTGTACTACACTGAGTGTATATGCTGAGCTGTAAATACTGAGCCAAGCTGCAATCTGCAAAACTTTTGGGTTTTGTGCACTTACAGACTTCCCTGTATCCTGCTGTCTGGTGGATGCAGCCATGACTCCTTCAGCCAGCATCAGCACTGGGACCCCCCTCTGCTTGCCTCAGTCAGCTCCTCCTTTGTGTTAAAAAGGGATCAGCGCATTGCTGCTGTCAGAGGAGCTGCCAGCCCTCTCTCTAGCCACCAGCAGCTTTGCCATGTCTTTGTTGCCATGTATTTGTTACCAGTTAGCCTTTTTGTTTCATGCCCACCATCCACACACAAAGGTGGGCCAGTCAGTGATCGTTTGTCACCTTTTGTCCTATTAATTTCCTCTCCTGCTCTCCCCCAGTACCAGCAGCTGTTTAAAGAGAAACTGTAGAGGAACAAGGTAATTATCTCCAGCTCTGACATCTCTGCCAAGCACAGAGCCCTGCTAAGGCTGACTGTGAATGCACCCCCTGCCCAGGACAGAAAACATCTGCTCTTGGATTCACTCTGTCCCCTTTTCCTTCCCTGCTTTGCCAAATGAGTCCTAATCTGGTATTTAAAACTTTTTGCCACCCTGGCTATTTTTTGCCTTTTGGAGAGAATCTTAACCTGTAAATGATGGATGATCTGCAGGTCAGGTCCTGCTGTTAGGTTCAACTGTGACCACAGCATATTTCAGCAAACTCCTCCTTAATTTTTTCAAATGCAGCTGTTCATGACCCTGTTGGATTTGCTGCTTGTTACCACTTTGGTTTAGGACATGGACACAGCTTCTGGTAAGAAGGACATCTGTGCCTGAAAGAAAGGATAACTGTGGGGTTGCACACAAGACTGAGGTTCAGTTCCCAGCTCTGTTCCCAACTCCTGGCATGACCTTGAATAGTGCTCAGCTGTAACACAAAGAGTTCTTCCCTGCCTTGGCAGGACTCAGCGACACCCACATGCCTGATAGATACTGTAAAAGTGAAGTACAGGATCTGGTAGCACACTTCAGAGTTCTCCTTCCCTCCCTTGCCCAGTCCCCTCAGCAGCTTAAAAGATTAGCTCTGAAGTTTAGAGGAGTCTTGGTCTGTTTCTGTAGTAACAACATAGTACATTTGTAAAAGTTGTCTGGGTTTTTTCATTGTTTCTCAGCAATCAAAAATAGCAGAGGGAGCTATGAATTGAGTAGTTCTTTGGCTGAAACTGTTTTTTCAAAAGATTATGAGTCCTTCCTCCCATCTTACCCTGGTTCCTTATTTCCCTGCCACATCCTTTTTCCTTGGCATATTCAGGAAGACCATGTTTCTTGCTGATCTCTGCACCAAAACATATATTTTGGCTTTTAAAGGCTTTCCTCCTTAAGTTAGGGCCATAAGCAGCAAAATTTTCCCTGTCTAAGCATCTTGAAATTTGGTTGTTATTTCAGGCTTAGACCAAGCATTCGAAGTAGGGCAGCAGAGCAAGGTGTGCTTTTCTCTGAAACCTGCACTTTTCTCTGAAAACACAGCACAAAGGCCTGTGCAAAGGCAAACACAGAGTGCCCAGGGCTGCTGAGTGCCAGCAGGCAGTGGGAGCTGGCAAGCTCAGGAACCTCCACTTCTGATGCTGGCAGAAAGCCATCAGTGAGGGAAACAGTTTAAAACCTATCTTTGAGAGCAACCCTCAGAGGGAGCTGGCAATAGTCAGGAGGAGATGTCTCTGTGGGTGCTTGGGAGCATGATCTCAGCTGAAAATGGGGGAAATTCTTGCCTGTAGAACAGGGGCTGCATTCTTGCTGCCTCCCTGAGTGGATAAAGGGTTCTTGACTCCCTGTTCCAAGGGCTTAATCTATCACACAGTCTTTGAACCTAACACATATCTCTAAGACAGAGGAGGAAACCCTTGAGGGCTGTTGCTCACCTCAAGAACAGAGCACTTCTGCCTGCACAATCTCATTTTCCTGTAGATGACACCAGTCACCTGAAGATGTCTTTGAGAGTGTGGAGCTGTGGCTTCACCCACTTCCAGCAGTGCCAGCTGTGGTCCAGAGCCACATCACTGCTCTTCATCCTGCTGGTCAGAAGCCTCAGCCAGACAGGGACTGGCAGGAGCAGAGCTGGCAGCCACTGCTCAGGAGGAGCCCGTGGGAGCTGCCTGTTCCCACCTGCTCAGCAGGGGCTGGGGGCTGCTGCTTCACAGGATGCAGAAGCCCCCCCCCTCTCTGCTGAGTTGGCATCACCTTCTGGGAAATTCCTGCTGAGCTTCTAATGTCCTACTTAACCTCTGATTAGACAAAGAAAGATGCAGCCTGGCACACTACCCAGGAAAGGTTTCCAGCCATGTTTTATTCTGTCCAGGAAAGGCAGGAATATCCATTGCTTTCTCTGTGTCGTGTACACTTAGAAAATAATGTCAAAAATACAGGAAGACAGCCAGGCACAAGGTACTCTGCTAACTGGTGTGTGTTTCTTTTCTTTTTAGTCCTCCCTTGGATTTATTGCCTTGGTGATCAGCACTCTGCACACACTCACCTACGGCTGGTCGAGGGCCTTCGATGAGAATCAGTACAAATTCTACCTGCCCCCAACCTACACCCTCACACTGCTCGTCCCATGCACTGTGATAATAGCTAAAGTCATCTTCAGTTTGCCCTGCATCCACCACAGACTTCTGCGAATCAGGAGGGGCTGGGAGAAGGGCAGATACGTCAAATTTGTTCTGCCCAGCACAACGGGGGAATTTTCAAGCGGGGAGACCTCCAGTAATGTCTAACAGCCCCAGCTTTGAGGATTTCGGAGCACTATCAGCATTTCTATAAAGGTGTTTCTCTTTCTTAAACATGTGTATGTTTTGGTATAATGGTATTGTGGATAAAATAATAAAACTTGTTGACTTTAGAAAATGGACAACCACCAAACTAGGTTAGACAGTAGTAGTTAAATTATATTGCCGATTTGCTAGGACAATTATTGCCTTAAAAATGATTGAGAGCCAAGCTAGCAGCACTAATATACATGGGAAACTGATGGACTCTGTTGGTCAGATCAGTCACTTGAGGTGCTGGCTGGCAGCTCCCCAAAACAGTACTTCTCAGTTGCTTTCCTAGCTGCTCTCATAAATTTCAATGCTTTTTTTTTTTTTAATATGAGGTTGCACAGATTTTTTTGGACTTTCTGACAGCAAAGATAGGTATCTTTGCCTCTTAAGTGTATAGATCAGTCAAGGCAGTGAGGTTTAGAAAGATCAATTGCCTCTGGTTTTGTTCTCCTCAATGAACTCCGTGGAGTCAGAACAGCTATATTTATGTTATTGTGACAGCAGATTTTACTAAAATCATCAAATCTGACAGCAAGCCTAGTATCCCTGTTCTCTCAAATACAGACAGCACTTCTGGTCCTGAAAGCAGTCCCTGATGCATGTTTATAAGCTGAGGAAATAAAGCACCTTTTCCAGCAGTATAAAAGCATTTGAGAGACATCCCCAATACCAGACGTCTGGTCTGCACTGCTGGCTCTGAGATGATAGTTACTGCTGCATGCTCTCTGTTATACTGAGCCAAAGTTTCAAGCAGTATTTGATTGAAATAGAGCGAGGATAATTATTGGAGAGGCCTGCTGCTTCACAAAATTACATGGAGAAAACCAAGGCCTTCCGGCTGGCCTTACATCAAATAATAGGGTGAAGCTTTTAGAAATTGCTGTCACCTGAACATTCCCATTTAAGCAAACAAAACAACAGCTCTAAACCCACTGGTTTCACTTGCAATAATAAGATCTTTGAACAGTCCTGCAAAGGGATCATCAAATCTTGACCACAACATGAAAACATGGCAGTTGTACATTTTGGGCACAGTCCTTCATTGCCTTACACCTTAAAAAGTCACTTGCTAGATCACAGAGCATGTATGAAATGCTCTTCTCACTTCACACCCACTGTGGACAAGGCACAGGGCATGTATGAAATGCTCTTCTCACTTCACACCCACTGTGGACAAGGCACAGGGCAAAGAAGATTTCTATCCTAATTTTATGTTTCACCTGTCACTTTCTGTGAAGTTCTTACTCTTTATCAGAACAATTCTTTATGTTTTGGACATCCAAATCACCAAACAGTGAATGGACAGCCATTCACTAAAGCTCATTGAAAAGCAAGTGATAGGGATGACACAAGAAGACTACCTCAGTAAGGTCAAGTACAAGGACATGCTTGGAATAGCCTCATTTTCCTACATGTAAGGAAAAGACACTCAGTGTTCAGTATTGCTTTGAGAAACAAGAGCTGTCAGCACCAAAGGAGGTACGTGTTACTGGGTGTTATACTTTTAATATAAAGGGCAGGGGGAATTACCAGCTTTGGGGCACATAAGCCCTTCTACAAGCTAATGCTTCCATAACCTGGAAGAGTTCTACACAGACAGAGACTCACAAGAATTCCCTGTTTAGCCTCGAGTAACTACAGTGAGTAATCTCCAAATATTGCTCATGTGGCCAGTGACGATACTGAGTGTTAGTTCTTGCCTAACACTTACAGTAAAGTCTCTAAATGCTGCTTCTTTTTACTGAATAAACTGGCTTGAGGGGAAAGCCTAGATTTCATAATCAGGTGGGTTTTTTTCTTGTTGTTTTGATGGGGTTTGGACAACATGATGAAGGTACCATTCTTTACCGCTGTCCCCCTCAGCAAGCTGAGTTTATTAGGTTTCCCCATCCACCTCCAGAACTTAGCCCACATTGGTACCTGACCAAATCACTCTCCAAGCAGACTGATGACCCAACACTATTTATTTCTGGTTAGGTGACAGATTAAGTTTCCACATGGATTTGAGACAGTTTCACCTGAATATAATTCCACCCACTCCAGTTTAACTCATTCTTGAGGGAAGACTGGATTCAGCAAGCCTGGTTTTTCAGTCATCTTTTCCATTTCATCATCAGGCAAAGACAACATAAAAGCACCAGTTTACACACTGTGTGGTGTATTTCAGTGCCTTTTTTTCCCATCCAGGTTTCTTTCCACATCTTTAGGTCAGGCAAGACTGCTGTCTGGCGGCCAAAAAAGATTAGGAGGCAGGGAAAGAGCATTTCACAGACTGGCAGGATTTGTCTTCAAGGGAGAAAGAATGGCTTCTTTTGAGTCGCTGCAAGGTTAAAGCTTTCTGCCCAGCAGAAGGTTTGCACCCTCGCTTTGTTTACATGACTTCCATGCCTACAAGCCCTTTCCCATGGCAAAGGGACAGTTTCCATGAGCAGAAGGGGAGTCAGTGAGTCAGCATGGTGCTTTTCAGATGGACACAAGCCCTAAGGGACAGACAAGTCAGCTCAAAATCCCCAGTTACTGCAGCTCTCCAGCATCTAAAAAAAGAGCTTGTCAAGTGTCTCCAGGTAATGTCTGTGCCAGCAGACTGGCCAGCCAGCCACCATCCCTTTTGAAAACCAAAACCAATTCTTACAGATTCAGAGCAGCGTTTCACATGATGCCCTCTGTATGCATCTAGTCCTTAAGACATGTGACACAAAAGTTTGAGTCATTTCTTCTGATTCTGAAATGCTGAAAATGAAACTAAGGAATTTTTCAATTATCTTTTCCCTAAGCGTTTTTGATATGCATAGGACATCCAGTGAGATTGGCTTAAAATTTACCATTTAATTGGTTTTGTACTTGAAGCTTTTCTCTTTCTCTGTATATATGTACACACACACACACACACACAAATATATGTATCTTATTGCAGAATATATAGCTTGAATGTAAAAATCTTTGTATTTTTATTTTCTGTACTGCCTACTATGTGCCTCTGGGATATGTAAGAATCAAATGAGAAGCTGTAAGAGTAAGGCCAGTTTTAATCACTGGCCTATGTAATTATATAAAGATATTCTGAACAAGTCTACACAATTATATCAGAACTTGTGTGAGTCCTTTCTCCTGCCTCCCCCCAAACAAAACCATTAATTTAATGGCAGTAGTAGAGGAGTGTGATTATGTAGAATTTAACCAATAAGAAATAAAACCCACTACAGCCAGCAGCTTGTAGAATCTCATTATCAAGGTAAAATGATCATTGCTGTGACCCATGGTGCCAGGGCTCAATTACAGAGTTCCTGTGTGTGTGAGAGGGCACAAGTGTGTACAGGCATATATTTCATTAGAGGGGGCTACTGATACTACACAGCACTTGTAGCACAGGATCAAACAAGATTAATTCATTAAACAGAAAGTGCTGTTGATACAGAGTTCAAGGAAGAAGAAGTTCCAGATGGGGGACTGCAAAGAAAGACGGAGTTTTAATAGTATAAATTTGTTCTCTGCTTCTTAAGTCACTTTTTTGTAGAAGTGGCATGCCAGATCAACCAACTTCTGGATCCACAGCATTGCATTTTAATGAGCTAATTTGTAAGTTGATTTTAATGAGTTCATTTAAATTCCTGAGCTGAAGATTAACCTCTGCAGGTACAGTTCTCTCACTCCTTCAGTTTTATAATACAAGGCTTTAAACGGTGCAATTGGTTTCTTGCTCTTAAGGGATTTACTCACAAAGTGATATATCAAACTATAGTTAAATCTTTAGGGGGATGCATTTGCTTCAGCACTCTGTGCTGTGTAGTTCCCCCAGTCTCTCCAATATGGCCAGCACAACTACAGTCAGCAACAAAACCTGGTGCTATTCTTCAGCTCTAAATTTCACACACTGAGCTAGTAGGATTTTCAGACTGTGCCTTGGGTTTGAGGAATGAGATTTGTTACACTAGGACAGTTTTCTTTTATCTATTTGTTGTGCCTTAATAAGCAGCATCAGTTTTGCAGAATTTCTGCACAAGGGTTTTTTTTTGTGTATGTGAGAACCACACACATTTTAAAGCTGAGCACAGAATACACAGATACCATCTATGATTAGGGACAGTTCTTGTTAGCAGAGCATGTACAGGACATTCATAATCAAAGACTAAAAATAAGCATTGTCTGGGGCCAGTCAGGAGGATCACATATCACAAGCCGCAGTATTACTGAAACCTTTCAAAGACTTAGTGGCACGAGTACATTCTCCTAGAAAGATAATCTGCTTTAGATTTAGAAATCTCAACACTGGAGGATGCACTACAGCTGCTGTTCAGCTGGTTAGTTACTCTTGTTACCTGTTTCCCATATCTGATCTGCAATTAGCTACCTTCAGCTGCTGCCTTAAAGAGCTGTCTGGAGCCAGATGTCTGCTTTCAAGTAGCTGTCTCATTCAGCGCTCTAGAAAACAAAGTTGCTGTGCAAGATTCAAGTCAGAGTTCTACAAAATCAGTTGTATTTGATTTGGGAGGGATGGGGCAGGGGAATAGTTGTGAAGAGGTGGACATTATGGTAACTGCTGAGGTATAAAGCTATCATGGCTAGAAATCTAAATCTCCTCTGGCACAACTTGAGGACATTTCCTCTTGTCCTGTCACTGGTAACTTGAAGGGAGAGACCAACACCCAAATACAAGCAGAGAGGCAAAGATGTGACTTCAAAGTACCGTTGAAATCAGACCAACACCACGCCTTCAATTTTAAAAATCCCAGTTCACTGAAGAAAAGTGGCTTCCCAAACTGTTCTTAAGGAATATATTCCATGGGCTTTAGGTTAGAAAGTAGAATTAAACCTTCTCAGGTGTGGAATGAGAGCAGACAGCAGCAGTTCTTACAGTACTCACTGACATTTCTGGTACACAACACTGTAAGTCACCTGCCAGACAGCAGGAATGGACAGACAAAGGTAAATTCTTATGTTAATCTGTCACACTGAGCCCTTTAATGTATTTACTACCAACAGAAACTCCCACTCCTCTGGTTAGCTGCTTCTGTCCCACTAGAAAGGAATAAATCTATTGCTATCGGAGAGGATGATAACAAACAGAAGTTACAATCCATATCTGATCAAAAATACCTCATCTACAGGGACATAAAAGCCCCATCCTCTCCCCCACTGCATCACCACCCTAAACATCCACCTCTCCTCTCATCTACCTGCCATGCATGCCCAAGTTTACAGACAAGGTCCTGGTCCTCAGCAAAGCAGAACTCGGTGCTGTGCAGAAGGGACAGAAGCAAGAACACTTCCCAACCAACCTGCACACCACACTGGCTGCACCCCTGCACACCACAGTCTTCCCCTGCACACAGCCCAGGACTGCACAGCTGCAATTTCTCTTGTATCACCTCCAGAGTGTGAACAGTGTTCGAGGGTTCTAGAGAGAGTTTGGCATTGAGAAGCAGTTCCCATACACAGCAAGCTGTGGCAATCCCCTTACACTACACCAGTGTGATGAGGCTAGAAGAAAGGAATTAAACAAGCAGCCCAAAACAGGAGGAAAGATTATTTACATCACCCAGGCTCTACCTGCCACTTTAACTTCCCTCTCTTCGACACCTCCCTGGTACCTGCAAGCTGCTGCAAGAAAAGTGATGGGAATCTGAGCAGAAAGCTGTCACACCTTGTCCCTGTGCAAAAATTCAAATTTAGCCTTTTAACTAGGCAGCATCTATGCATGCTCTAATCACTGAGAGCATAAAGCTATGCACAGTGCTTGGATTTGGGCTCTGAAACTCATATCCCACCTCAGCTCATCCCAGCTCAGAAAGCACAGCCCAGACAATGTAGTACCACGTCCTCCTTAGCCCTTGCACTACAAGGAGGAAATAGTGGGAGCTTGGGGTCAGAAGCATGGAGGATACATTTGTTGTGTGTTTAAGCTGTGTTACTGAAGATGTTTTGCTCTGCTTTGCATGTGCATCTGTTCCAGATGGTTTTCTTTGTGTTTAAAAGAAATAGGCATACTTAAAATCTACTTTACAAAACCTCAGCAAATTAAAACTGATCTTTTCCAGACAATTCTTCAAATGAATGTTCTGCAAATGCCTCCTCCCAGCATGCAAAGATTTAGATACGCTGGGAACTGGCTCCACAAAGGATGCTCTCTAACAAGAGGAATTTAGGCACTGAAACCAGTTCGACTTGCTGCTTTTTGATTTTAATATAAAAAGAAATACTTTCTGCAAGGAAAAGCTCAGCTTTCATCACCAGAACCCTAGCACGGATTTCACAGGCTAAACCAGTTCACAACTAAGCACTTTTCATAAATACGACACATCTCTTGGCTTACAGAGGTTCTGGAGAAGCAAAGAACAGGCTGTGCTGACATCTGGTGGCTTTCTCTGCAGGAAACGAGTTCATGGCAATAGGTCTTGGCTTTTCACTGCCTTTTTTTTTTTATTTTACTTTTTTATTCCTGATGTAACTCCTTCATTTCCTTACAAGATACAAAGCATTATGCTAAAAACATTTTTGTTTCCACTGACCAGTGGACAGTGCTGTCCTGTGCAAGTATTCCTGCAAAGCAAGGAAAGAGCTTCTGTTGTACACTATCAGTTACAGGGTAGAAAAAGTCTCCATTTCAAAGCATATTTTTTCATGAACAAATTTTAAAAAATGTACATTCACAGGATGTACATGCCACAGGAAATGCTACTATTGCATATCAGATGAGGTGCAAACCTCACCATTAAAGCATTGCAAATCAGCAGAAGTGGCAACAAGCAAAGGGAAGTGGCTGGGGAAACGTTTGAAGCTGTGTCTGTTTCTCTGACTCAATAGGAAATGGAGAGTAGAGAAAACTCAATATCCTGAAAAAATGAAAAGCAACAAAAGTTGTATACTGGGTGTTTCTTGACTCATTAATCACTTGCAAATTTGTGCCAAGTAGTCCTATGGAAAGGAAGCGATGGAAAGGGGATCAAGTGCCAACCGGGAAGCCTGAGCTCAGTCCAAGCTGTTCAATAAACAAAAGTGTGCATTTGCCTTCAGCATTTGTAATGCCTCCAGTCATCTGCCCTGCTCTGTATCTGGGATCCTGTCAGTCACAGGAGACCACGAATGAGTATCCTGTGCTCTGGTTTTAGCTTCTTGATCTTTGGACACTCAGGATTTCTGTGGCTATGAGCTCCCAAGGACAGGGCCCATGAATGTCCTGTCGTGGCTTTGGGAAGTCTTGCACTGCTACTTGCAGGCTCATTTTTAAATAAGTGATCTGTCAGGGGATGTTAAATACTGACAGGGAGTGAAAGAGAAACACCACAACTTACAATATATTTCTGGATCACCTTTAGGTCACAATGTTTACATTAGATAAAGCAGTTAACTGTAAAAGTGGTGATTAACAGATTTTGAGTTCTCCTTTATGCCACTGGTCAACTCAGCTGTCCATGTCAGCAGATTTTTCCTAACTCTTCCTTCTTCAAAAGGCAACATAACTACCTCTGGGCAGAAAAATAACTAAAACTGTTGGATGCAGAAAGTATAATGAGACAAAGCCAGAAAAAACAAGATGCCTATTGAAGCAGTTCATTAATTCAATTCCAAAATTATGATAAAGCACCATTTGTATACCTTTAGTTCTATAGAAAGCAGCACTGCTCTGGTATCTCTGCACCAGGAGTGTTGCACATGCAGATTTTGCTGTTTATTCAATTACGCTGTTACCTCTTCCTCCTATTTATGATAATTCCTTTCCAAATTTCCTCTCTTCTTCAGTAGCAATGCTTTCACACCTCCCATTCAAAACTCCAGTCTCTCTGAAGTGATTTTTTTCTCCAAGAGACAGCCAAGCCTGACACAGCACCCCAGGGTTCCAGTTTGACTCTTTTCCTGCTACAGTGTTATAACACAGGATAAATTTTATTTTATTTCAGAGTCTTCTCTGGATATTGTTCTTTTGTTTAACAAAAACATGGTGAATGGTTCCAAGAACATCCCACTGTAACACAAATCCTTATTTATCCCACAATGCCTAAGACCACTGGCAAAGCAGTATGACTCTCCCCACTACACCTTTGATTAAAAGCAGCTGTAAACCAATGCAGTTCATTATTTCTGCCAGGATAACAAACCACAGTACTAGCTTTGTGATTTCCTTCAACAGAAAGAGGATTTCAAAACACCATCTCAGACAGACTTCTCAGTCTTTACTAATTTCTTAGCCAGTGTTCAGAGATTTTGTTCAGTACTCAACAATTCTGGAATCAAACCTACTTTGATACAAGGCTGTACCATATCCCACCAAAAAAATGTTGGAACAGCATCTTTCCTAGCAAGTTTTTGGTTATTATCTGTGGTTTTGTGAGGTTTACTTGAAAGAAACATTACTGTAAGTTCCATTAAAAAAAAAAAACAAACACAAAAACAAATCAAAAACAAACCAGAAAAAGCAACAACCACAGTAGGAAAACACTTCAGGAAGAAACCAGTTTACAAGTATGGCTATTGAGGGCATTACAAAAGGCTCCACTGTGCTGCTGGAGAAAGAAGCCAATAAAGTGCCATTGCCAGAGTGAACAGAGCTCACAAAGCAGTTTAACTCTTCCCTTGGAAAGAGAAGTTAATCTGGAGTGCCAATCACATCATTCTTGAATATTTGCAGTAGAACATTTACCGTTTTTCTCAAGGATACTGTAGAATTGCTCTTCCACTGTACCACACTTCATGTGACACTGCAAGTTTGGAACTGTACAAGCCCAGAAAAGACAATTGTTGCAATGTGGTGAATCTTTCAAACACAAATGCTTTAGAGAAAAGGGGTCACAAAATCTGTCTGAAAGGACTGGAAACCAAATTCAAATCCCTAGAACAGGAGAGAAAGAATGGAAGTTCTTGCTCAGTCTGAGAGCCTGCATGTGGTGACAGACACCATTTAGATGCCCTGGCAGGCCAGCCTAACACTGATGTCTCTGGTACACTGTCTGTTCTTACAAAGTTACCTGCATTATTATAAATTTGGCTGAACAAAGATGAGATAGTCTGGAGTGCAATGCATCAGCTCGAACTGTCTGAGAAGATGAGCACAAATTTGTACTAACCACATAAACCTGCAAACATGACAGTCTCTGTAAGAAGGCAGCTGAACATGGGCCCATGTTTGGGGAGCAGGTAGCAGCAACAGAGAGGCTGCCTGGACAGAAAGAGAAGGCAAGAGGTAAATTCTCCTCATAAATTCATCAGGGCATGCATAATGGCACCTACATCTCAGGAGAACGCAGGTGACTTCAGTGACACAGGACTCCTCCTTACAAGATAAAGATACAATAATTTAATCACAGTTGAGAAAGTGGTAGAGTTGTTTCACTAGAGAATAAAACTCTGAAGCAAAGCTGTTGGTGAGTAAAACAGCCTCAACCAGAGAGTTCTCAGGAAGGATGAAGAAAATTAGGTGGGAAGAATACACAGACGGTTCTTTGGCCCTACATCTAAAATAAAGGGAAATTTTACTTGGAGACTTTTTGGAAACCACACATGACAATAAAAACAATAATCAAAGCTCTAGGAAATAGTAGGGTTACTTCTCCATAAAGTGTCATGGATATAGCATTGTCAGCTCTCACCCAGAGCTCAGTGTAGATGTGTAGGTCTAAAGCAATTGCACATGAGCTCTCATTCAATTTAGCAGAGCCCATGCCCAAAAAGCCTGCTAAGGCAGAGAGCCAGCACCATTCCTATTTGAGTGAAGGGAGGCTTAAAGGCACAGTTTCCCATGTTGGTACCCCCTAAAGAGCATTTCATAAGTAATCTCTACCTAAAGGTACTTTATTGGATACATAATTATTTTCTATTATTCTTAATTTGGTTCATGCAGTAGGAAAGCCCGGCATTACCAAGAACAAACACATAGCAACAGAGTATTTGACTCATGGAAAGCATAAAGGAATCAATTCCAGTCTTGAAGACATGTGGCTCACAGACTGGGCCTCTCCTCGCAAAAAATGCAATCATTCAGGTTTTATTCTTAAAACTGAAACCATGAGCTTTCACTCCACTTGGGAAAATGCCCAATTCCTACTTAGGCACACTGACGTCCTGGCAGAACTCGAGCTGCTACCCCTGTGTGAAGGTGTCTCCATGAAGTAAAGCTACAAACAGGCGAGCTGGTCCTTGGACACAAAAGCCTCCCAACAGACATTTGTCCCTTTCAGCATGCTAAAGAGGGCTGGAAGAGAGGATAATGGAAAGCATTCACCACTGAAAAGCATGAAACACTGGCCAGTCTGCACTATTTAAACAAAAGAGACTAAACATAAAATGAGAGAAGTAAAGCTGTGACTTGAAACAGAGAGATTCTCTTCTCAAGATCTTTAAAATACCCAGTGATTTGGTCATAAAACATTTCATTTCATTTGAAGGAGGTTTCACTTCATTTTCATTAGAAGTTAGTACTGTGATGGGATCATCCTGTGCATTCTATAATTTCCATATGCAGTTACTGTCTGCTGTGGGATCACACCAAGAACGTGTCACGGGTCAGGGATGGCACTGCCTGAGGCTCAAGAGCCAAGCACAGCAAAAAGAAAAGGGAGGAGGAAAAAAGTCATTTATGTCCCCCAGTTTTTCTTCTCTCAGCCTCAGCATATTGACAGAAATTAATTTCTATAGGAAGGGAATTGCACTGTTTGCAAAGAAATCCTCTAGGATTTATTGATCTTTAAGAAAAATCTCATTAAGCAGAATAAGGAAAATTTACAACAGGTATGGGAAAACAAAACAATCTCTTGGGATCTTCACCAGGCCGAAACAGGATTAGCTCTGTAGTTTCTGTAATCTTCCTCACAGAAGAATGCTAATTCCGTCTCATTTGCTAGAATGAATAAAAAATTAAATATTTAGCACACCAGTAAATGAACCACCACCAGCCAGCTATTTAGAATCTTAGAAGACAATTAGCAGCTTTGTGGTCAAAGACAGTTTTAGAAAATCACCACATGTTTGTTTTTTTCCTTGTCATATTTTTGAAAAAGGTTGCCAGTATTAAAGATGTCATTTAACCTCATTAAAAAATGCCCCAAACACACAAAACCGCCAAGAACATGAATGTATAGAAGTAAATATGTACACAAGACCCCTCAAGATTTGTTTAACATAGTCTTCAGAATTGTTTGTATAAGCATTCAGCAAATTAAGTGATTGCATTTCTAACACCTTCAAATGCTAGGAAAGTAATGAAGCATGATACAGTCTTTTTTTTGTGCATTTTTCTGTTAGGAAAGGGAGAAAGAAACTTCTTTTTTCCATTAAATTAGCCTGTAGGTATAATAATTTAATACTTAGAGGATCAGTAGAATATTTTACAGATCACTTTACATTCTCCCTCATGACCCATCAAAATATGTGTCTGAAGAAGTTAATTTTTTGCCCTGCTGATGATTAATTCATGAGGCTTCGACAATATGCAAAGTGAAAGAGACAAATTGGCTTCTCCAGCAATACCTTCAAATACCTCTAATTATTCACAGGGGATATGGCAGAGCTAAAGGACCCACAAAGGTTCAGAACAGTCACAATTCTTTCAACCCAGTAGGTCAAGGACTTCCTCTTCTAAAACAATAAGTCAGCAACATTACTAATTCAGAACAGAGACAAATCTGATGGAATGCCTTCACAATTATTAAACATGGAATTCTTTAAGGTGCTGAGCCAATAAATTCCACATTCGTTTTTTAAATTAAACCTCAAGTTAATGAAGTCTGCCTGTCTTGTAAAAAAAAAAGAAAAAAAAAAGAGTAGAAGGGGTTTTAGAATCTCAGCTAGAAAACAGACAAGACTGTTTGTAATGAATACTGAACACTTTATTAACATACACCCTGCTTTAAAAAAAAAACTAATGCAAGCATTAACTTTGCTGACTGGATAATAACTGTAATAACAATCACTACTACAGAGGCTTTCCTGAGGATACTTATCTAATGTCCTCATAATTTATAACTCTCTAGCCCAACCCTGTATAGGGCCAAGGGCAATCAACTGCAGCTTAGGAAAAATGTTCTGCATGTATCAGAATTTCCCAGATTTTCGAGCGGTGATTCTGATTGTTTTATTCTAGTAAGTCTTGTCCAGACAAGATGTTGGGAAAATTTCATATCTCAGTAGGAGATTTCAAATTTTCTTACTGATTTAAAGAAAATATACAAAATTATAAATTTTGTACAAAATGAGGACCAGTGGTACATGATACATTATATCACTTCCTTGGCTTACTCTTTCCTACTTCTTGTTGAAGGAGAAAAGTAAAATCTTCAAGATTTTACTACAAAGACCCCACTCCTAACTTAGCTAATTTTCACATCAACACACTGGAACATATCCAAATTAAAAATGAGATAATGGCATATCACATTTTCCAAAGAATGGGTTTTCCTCCTCTATCACAAATATGCTCTATATACTAATGACTAATAGGTGCTTATTCAGAAAAAAAAAAAAAAAGAAAAAAAAAAAGAAAAAAAGGAGCTTTAAATAATTTTCTGCCCTAAATGAATCACCCCTCCCTTTGTACAGAAACACAGAACAGGCTGCTGCATTCCCATTTCCTTTCACTGTAACATTTAGTCTGATGTTTTGACACCTTTTTTGAGATCACATCCAACTGCTTCACTGCTACAAACCCAGTTTCAAAGATGGATAAAATATACAAATACTTATCCATAACTGTTCGAAAGAAGACAGCTTTGTTATTTCTAATTCAACATTTGGCACTGTCATAAGCCTCTCTCCTGAACTGCACTGCCTCTTATGCTTTACATAGATAAAGATCATAGTTAAACTAATCTTCTGCTAGCTAAATTACAAATCTGTAAGGCCTGGGTGCCAGCAATCCTCACTTTTGTTTCCCCCCCCTCTCCACAGACAAAAAGGCTTGGTGTAGTAAAAACTCTGATTCATATTACAGGAACACTCGAAGACCTTTAGGAAAGGTATATTGGGACCAGTTGTAGTTCACACCAGAGGAAAACACTGAAGAGACATCCCAAGTCACTTAAAACCAGAAAATAAATCGCAGGAAACAGGAGAGCCAAGTAACCTACGAGAAAGAAATCCCATTCAGTAGCTAGGGAGCAATCAGTGAGCACCAGGGGCAGGAGGGAGCCTCCTCTGTGAAGCCCCTGCACTTAGAGCAGAGGCAGTTAAAGCTTTCCAGCCAGGCAAATCAGATTCAAATGAGCAAACTGTCCATATCAAGGTGGAATGCAACCACATCCCTTAAGTACCCTGCTGCCACAAAGTCATTCAGCCACATTTATGAGGAGCCCAAAGGACATCCAGGGACCATCAATTTTATCATGACAGACATTTCTTTACATTATTACCAAAAGACATGCCCTATATGTAGTCTCCTGTCAAAATGTGAGAAATCAGGTCAAGTTTCAACTCTTTGCTATGTTCAGCACATTCTCTAAATGATACTGCTCGAGCTTTCCTGAGCAATCTGGCTATCAGGCAGCACTGTATGCTGCACATTAAGCAAATCTAATCTTATTTCATTATTCCATGCTGGTTCCACTACTTACATTTCTAACCAAAACATCAGTTTAAATGTTACTGATAAGACTAAGCAGACACGGTACTAATAACCTATCTGTCAATCATTTAAAATTACTCTCAGCAGAATTATAAGCATACCCTCTAAAAATCACAATTTGCATTCTGAACATTTGGAGTGCAGATACCTGCTGCCCTCAGACCAATGATTTGAATAATGCTTCCCTGAATAATTATCAAGTCGTGTAAAGAGCATCAGAAATAGCATTTACTTTTCAGCAGCCTGTCCAAACATAATCAGCCAGTTATCAGTTTAATGCTACCACGAGGAACAGCATCTTCAGTCAATACAAATGTACTCCTACCTACTCCAGCTGCTTTCAGCGTGCTGTCTTCCTTCAAAATCAGTTTGTCATCATCTTCCAAACTCACTACAAGTTCACCGGTCTACAAATCAGAGAACCAGAGTACAAAGATAAGAGGAATTTACTGATTTCCTCTTCTCCAGTCTTGTTTGACAGTGCAGAGATCTGCCTGCATCAAAGCATGCAAAAGGGGAAGAACACAGCTAATAATCTTACCTTAGATTTGTGTGCTTGGTGAATAATCTTCATTGTATCTGAAAGAAAAAACAGTGTTTTCCTAAAATAAGGCTTAAAAAGCAGACAACACTGAAAGTTGTACTTGGGGAAAGACAAACAAACAAAGGGGGAAGCTTCAAAATCTTTTGTTATTAACAATTTTGTGTATTCAACCAGAAAGAGGAGAAAACATCTTAATCTCACAGTCCTGCGGCCAGTCTTAAAGCAGTCAATGCAACATTAAGGCACCACATCCTATTGGGCTCCTGTCTGCTGGCTGAATTACAATAACCAACTAATGACCATCTCAATTGCCAGTCAAAACACATCAATTTAAATGCCACTTAGGGTGTTTTAACTTAATAGGTTTTGCACATGCAATTGGGGCAGGACCAACAGCATTTATGCACTGTCAACAGCTACAGCTAAGTTGATAGGCAGCAAGTGATTAAGACACAGTAACCTGATCACTTCAGATCATCCCTTGAAATTTCCTTTCTCATAAATACAGCACCCACCATCCACAGCAGAAATATCATTAAGCAAGTTCATTTTACATGAACATCTACAGCCTCTTCTCTTCAATGCTATACCCTCTTCAATATTTTTTATCTTACATTTGTGCAGTGTAGTGCCTTTAGAATTTTTTTTTTAAAAAAGTACCACTTTCTTCTGGCAACATGGGCAGGACTTTTCCTGGGAAAAACGGGGAAAATAAGTCACTGAACTCACTGGATAAGTGCAAAGATCCAGAGGGAATGACTTAAAGCCATGCAACATGAAAAACAAATAGACTGAACTCTGAAGACTCTGTGTTTGAACAAATTTGGAGTAACACATCAATCCCTTCCCAGCAGAGAAGAAAAACCAGTTCTGCTTGTCAGCTCATTTTCTGTCCTAGTTTAGTTTTGTGCAGAGTGAACATTACACGTTGAAATAGTCTGGTAAGAGAAGGATGTAGCAAAGTTAACTATTGGCTAAACCAACTTTCAAATTACCAGGAGCAAGTATTCAGATGATCAGAATAACAGAGATCACATTCCCACTCAGAAGTTTGCTTCCATAGCATTCTGGCCCATTTTCAACACCATTTAAAACATTACATAAGGTAAGAAGTACTCTGTATTCTCACTGCAGAGCTCACTGAGAAGGCAGCCTTGGCATGTTGCAATAACTGTGGTATTAGAAGCAAGACAGACATTAAATTGCAATTACCAGGCTCTATCTTGCATAGAAACATTACAAAAAGACCAAACAATCACAGAAAAAATATTTTGCAATCATGAAACCTTTCTACTACAGCAAATAAACCCTGTGCCTGTTAGCTTTAAGCTCCTCTGCCTACTTTGATATGTTCCCTTTTCTCTAGTCTTAGTACAGTCATGTCCTGAAGTATTGTCTCTGTTTCACTTGCTCAGAACTCCACCACTGGCACCCAGCAGTTTATCATGGGCTCATCTGAGCTAGTAAATGCCTTCTTTAACTCTGTTACAGAAATGAAACTATAGTCTCTTCTCATAAGCTAAATCCTGTGACTAGCCTTTGCTATTTCATCCCCATTTGGTCCCACTCAATCATACTGCCAATTTTTTTCTTGCCTTTTCTGATAATAGGATTATCATGGCAACTGATAAGATACCACTTTCTAAGTGGTTTTATGAACTACCTGCCATACTGCTCCACAGTCATGGATGAAAGAAATAAAACTGAAAAGCAGCTTGTGGAACAAGTTGCTACCCAGACTGCCAACATCAGTGAAAACCTAGCAATGACAAGGTACTAAGATAAAACTGACTCAGAAGAGTTCTAGACCAAGTACAAGAATAATCCATACAAAGAAATGAAGAGAAAATGGAAATCAGAAGCTTTGAGATGTGAATTGGAGCACTAATCCAAGAGCAAAAATGTGATGGCACTGTACATGATGTAAAAACAAAGTGGTGCTGAATTCTGCAGGGAAGGAAGCTGAAAAAGGCAAGCTGACAGACAACCAGATCCAACCAAGATTTCTGGCACTGCCAAACAAAACAGGAGAAAAGGTCTGGCTCTTACTGGTACTATTCATGCAGAAGTCTCACTGCCCTTTCCTCACAAAAACAGGAGAAAGACAGCAGAGTACTGTAGAGACAGCAGAGATGTCAAAAACATGAACCTGGATGATTCACAGCCCGAGGGGAAGGTGAGGAACCTGGCTTTGATTTTCCTGTGTGAAAATTTTCCTGCAGTTAGCACCATCACAGTAAGAGTAGGCCCCCAGTAACTGGTGCAACAGGTTCTAAAGTTATGCGCAGTACAAGCAGGCCCTCAGCCACCAGGTATGTCTTGGGAAAAGCTAAACTGATCTCCAAGTGATGAAAGAACTAGCAGCTGGGACAGGCAGCACCAGGGATACAACTGAGAGCAGCAGTTCTGGACAGGAATCCCCCAAACAGCCAAAGCCACAGACGGGGTGAAGGGCACCTCCAAATTCAAACTTACACTTACAAATGTTAAGATCTTAAGTAACATATTAAAAACAATAAAAAACATTCAAATCCTTGCCACTGATGTATCATCAATCTTTAACTCTTTTTCTAAGTTCAATATGCACTCTCTGTTTCACCATCAGCAAGAGCATAAAATTAAATCCTTTGTTTTTTTTAAATGGACAAATAGAGTTTATTACCCTTCACATGTATTAAGTAGATTTCTCACTCAGTTCTTTGAATCACCATAGAGGACAGAGTTTGTCAACTCCAAGAACACGGGAGACAGAGGATCACTTGCAGGAAAACTACAAAGGAACTTTGAGAATTGCCAAGTTTAGGAAAAGATGTGACTGATAGCCAAGTTTACAAACTCCAAGAAACTAAGCAATTTAGTCTATTTAAAAAGTTTTCTCTGTCCCAAACAGATTAATTGGACATGTTCATGCCAATTGCACAAAAGGGAAATATACATATAGCTTTACATTAGAGGATAAAGTCAGCTTAAATTTCAACACATGCTATTTCATACCACCAGCTTGTATTTAAAAGCTTTCATATCTACTTGGAGCAAAGTTCCCCTGTTTCTCTTCTATTGTGTAAGCTATTTAAGTATATAAGTCTTAAGCATTTTCTACTTCTTGCCTTCAGCTTCACCATCAGTAAATAGATACTGAAGTACATAAGCACACAGAGAACAATGTCAAAGTGTTTCATGATCACACGGTGCTCATTAGGGTAAAGACAGAGTTAAAAGGCACTTATAAAAGTAATAAAAAATTAATATCAAAACCCATCACTTCCCAGTAGCAAATAATGTAAACCATGCAGCCTAATTCAAAGATTAAAACAGATCTTCAAAATAATGGTCAAGTTCTGCAGACAAGATCCCAGTGGCATAACTCCATCTACAGCAGCTGGATAGAGTTGCAAATGTAGGCAGGCACTGGTGCCAACATTAGTATTGTACAGCAGTTATCTTTAAAGTTGTATAAATGCTGGTGTAAAATATTATGTGGTCATTCGTACATAATTACATCAAGAAGAATAAAAAACACCTACCATACTTGTAATTTTTAAAAGGAGGAGGAAGTCCTGTTCTTGAAGACACATCTATTAAAATAAAAGCACAAAGCTAAAACAAAGTTCTCTTTTTTTAATTATTTCCAATACTTCATTTTCCATTATTGTGCAAGGTATGCATCCCCTGGGCAGCCTTTACATCAAAATAAATCTGCAACATAGGAGACTTGTTTGAGCATCAAATGCTCAAACACAGCCTTTGGCTCAGATTCTATAGTGACTCCACATGTGAATAATTTCATCTGAGCGTGAACAAAACACCCCACTAGGACAGTGCAATTAGGGTATGAACAGAGAGTCTGATCCTCCATAAATCTGCCAGGAACATCCTGTTAATGGCTTGCCCAGCATTTCTCTTTACCTTGTACAAACAGCTGACAACTGTCATTCAGAACTGAATGAACCTGTAGCCATGAGAACAAGCCACAGGCCAAGAAAAGGAAGCCAAACTGTAGAGAATTAACTCTTTAGCTTCTTGCAGGACACAGCCCATATGTAACTGCAGGAATATTGACATTTTCCCAGTGCCAGTGCTCCCTGTGACTTAACCAGGCCCTCAGAAAGCTCAGCCACCTGTGGGTTGCCCAACAGCAAGTTGGCTGAAGCCATGATTTCTTCAGTAGTTTAACAATTTATCTCAAACTGCCTCTTCAAAACAGATTACAGTAAAGGAAGGAACATGACTTTTGGGTCCCTGTGGAACAAAGTTCTAAAAAGTCTCATTCAAGACACTGGCTTTGTCTCAAATAACAGTGAGTAGCAATATTGCACACATCAAAAGCAAGTTTTGTAGCATTGTTTTCTATTTTCTTGTTCGTAAGAGCAGCTGCGCCATATGTTCTGAAAGTGCTTGCAGCTTTCCAAAAGCATCCTAAGATCTTGCCATGTCTATCACTGTTTAGAACTATGGAAATTGCCAATCACAAGACACCCGTGAGTCCCAGGGCAATGTCCTAGGAGTTGCTCAAATGTTATAATCTATAACAGCTCAAGACTTGTTTAAGCTGACTTCATGCAAAAAAAAAAAAACAAATTATGTTATTTTGTACCCTATGAATGTCTCCATTGAGGTGTGTGGAAATACACCTGCAGGATTAAGGGTAACACCCTAATTACCAAGTTACTGTGTGGGCTGGTCTGCAGTACTTAACTTTTAGATTCACTGTCACTTTCAACAGGCTTCTAAAAGAGAAAGCCCACAGATGAGTAAATCTGCACCATAAAGCTCAAGATGGAGACAGAAACTCAAAAGCAAACATTCTCAGTGAGCCCACACAGCATCAAAAACAAATTTTCAACATTCTCTTTTCTCACAAATAGCAAACAGACTTGTGTGCCCACATTCCACATATTTGTGTAGTTAGGATCAAAGACTTTCTATTAATTTATTCCTATTAATTTATGAATATTTGCCTGACAGCACCACTCAAGGAGCCTGAGGCACTGAGCCAAATGCAGCAATGCCCTTGTTTCCTTTAGGCTAAACACGAGGATTTGGGCAGGAGGAGCAGTGCATCCAAATTCAAGCATGGCACACCGACCATGGAAGCTCTTATTAACTCCAGACCTTTCATCTAAGGAAGGAAAGCACACAGGGGATGCAGACACAAATTTGGCATCTCTACCAAAGCCACAGAATTCCCATTCATTTGCTCCCCTCCACTTTCTTGTGCAGGGACAGCAACACTTGGGACTGAAGCGAACGAGTGAGAGAAGCACACGTTACCCTTGCGCACAAAAGCGATGAACTCCTTCACTGTCTGATCCAAGGGGACGCCATGGTACACCACAGGTCTGAAATTACGGTGCTCAAAAGAGCGCACAAGACGAACCGTGACGGTCGAGCTTTCTGCTGACATGAGATTTAATTCTGAATAACCTGGGAAACGTTAAAGAGAGGGATTGTTGCCTTTCCTCTGTGCATGAGCACAGCTGGAAAACAAGGTGCAGGTGAGCCTCATGCAAAGAGTAAAACATGGTGAGAAGTCCAACAGCATTCTGCCTTTCAGGATTTCACTTCTATGATTCTTACTGGAGCAGTAACAGGGTCTCAAAACAAACAGGGCATTACTGATACTGCACACCACATACTCCAGGATCTGTGCTGAGTAATGCCACACCAGACTCCCTGCTAAACATACAGAAGTGCTAAGGATAAATGCAAGTGTATTGTGTGGGCTTTAAGTGATTGAACACTTTACCTACTGGGCTAACTCTGTGCTCTACAACAATGTCCTAATACAAACAAACCCAAAGACTTTTTTAACATACTTATGTTGTAGAGAGTGTAATACTCTGAAAAATGCCTAAGCTGTTACACAATGCTCATTTTTACCTCCCCAGGGGAAGTGAAAAATCACCACCACATACACAGGCAAATAATTTTCCTGGTACACAACTGCATAGTTAAGGGGTTTAATTTATAATAGTTGGTTTCTAGAATGGCTCTGTGGGCTTATACTAGAGAGCAGAGCCTAAAACAGAGTGGCCTTGTCAACCCAAAACCCTCTTCAAACAAGCCCATGTATTGTTCCATTGGGTTTTTTCTCCCCACAGGAAAATAAGCTCTTTTCTGCTTTGACAAACTTCTCTTATTTTTGGCGTTGGGCATCCCTCAGCTCCCTGGCCACATACTAAAGTGCCATTGCTGCTGCAGCATCCAGCAAGGACTGCAGCCCACGTGCTCCAACATCAGAACAACCTTTGCACCTCCCATCCCTGAGCAAGCACCTCAGTCACCACCTCCAGGCTTGAGAGGGAACCTTTTACCTATTCATCCCCTTATGTTCTTTCTTATGTTCTTTTCTGTGTGTCTTTTCTTTTTTTTCCTCCTTTTTTTTTTTTTTTTTTT